TAGGAAATATGCCCTAAAATGGCAGAATTTGGGTCGCAAAGCTTGTGCAATACCGGCGTAATATGGCGTAATACACGTAAAATGTAATACACTGTGCACGAAAATTCCAAGTGAATAACCTCGTTCGAGACCCCTCATTGTAAAATAAAGCCCTGTAAACTAGTTGGTGTCTTATGACGCCAACATATTGGCATTTTCCAAAACGACGCCAAAAATTGGCGTCAAAAGACGCCAAAATTTCTGGCGTTCATCAGAGGACGCCGATAATTTGGCGTCATAAGACCCCAACCAATTTTTAGTGAGGTGCTATGTAACACCCTTCAAAGGTGCTACTGCAGAAATGGCTTAAGTCCACTAAGATTGGCGAAAGTTACCTTTAGAGGCCAGTAGCGCTACTGAAATAGTGCCTTAACAGAGGCGCTACCAGTCCGCGAAGATGCTATTTTCGGCAATTTGAGGTGTCATACAGCACCTTTGCTTTTCTAGTGCTGCGAGCTTGCGTTATTCCGGCGGTCGCCCGCAGGACTGGTGGGTCTTGTCGTGCTGTACGCTCCTGAAGGAGGACCGGGACATCACCCAGGATGGGCCGTGGCCGCACCACAACGTTGCTTTAGCCTCCCACACGGGCCAACGATAAACACGTCGGATTGGTATGGAATCATGACGTCACCCGAGGAGAGGACGCTCAAAGTCGTGCAATTTCGAGATTTCGAGTGAATCGGTCAGGTTCGGTGAGGTCCATTTCGGCAAGTCGAGGTCTTCGACACGGACGTGGTGGGTACCTAGGCGAGGTACGTGCCTTAAATATTTTACGTAGGTGCAACTAGTGAGAGTTGAAGACTACTGCCAAGCATAGCAAAAAAGTGCTTTAGACGTTCTTTCACTGGTAAAACAAGTGTGCAGAATTTGCACACCAACTTGTGCAAGTTATGATTTTCCACATCACATGGTGTTTAATTCAAGTTCGAGGGGTCCCCAACTATGGTCTGCCGGTGTACTCATTAGGCAGGCTTCCCGGTTTTTAAATTTTGCACACTTTGGCACATACAATTCTATGCTATCAATAGGAAGCATGTGGTGTGCACCTGCGAGACTTTTCGGAAGTGTCGAAAGTTTAAACCAATTGACGTATAACCTAGTAAGACACCACAAAGTGTCTAGAAAAAGCACACTTGAGCTTAAACACCATTTGACGTGCAAAGTTAAACACTTGTTGTACCAGTGTTGAGGATGACCTTCTTGCTGTTGGAAAACAACAGCAAGGCGTGACCACGTAGTGGTCACTCACTCCACAAGGAACGTGCTAAGGAATTCAAACCGTCCCGCGTGATTGAGTGGGTCCGACCTTGTGACGGTCGTGGAGTTCGTCGCGACGGCGGGTGAATACAGATGGGGGGGCGGCAGCGCGCGTCACCGAGACACACGAACTCCGTCCACGCCCCGGCCAGCGCCCAGCGACGCCTCCTGGACCCCACCCATCCTGGGCCCCAAACCGAACGCACGCAGGAAGACAGGTGCCTTCTCTAACTCGCTCGGGGCCGAATGGCATCGCCAAGAAAGTACGTCCCTTATTCTCATATTCATTAGGTAAATTTGGGGGCAGTCGGCGCCCGCGCGACACTCTGATGAGTAGGCCACCCCGCAGTACACGCATGCACTGCAGGCAAGATGTCGCCTAGCTATCAGGCGCTATGAGAGTTTGCAGAGGCTGAAATTGACTGGTGCGAAACAGCGAATGACGCTTATTTGAGCTCGTTTGTTGTTGTTGTTGTTGTTGTTGTTGTTGTTGTTGTTGTTGTTGTTGTTGTTGTTGTTGTTGTTGTTGGTGGTGGTGGTGGTGGTGGTGGTGGTGGTGGTGTTATTTTTAGTGTTTGTTTGTTTGTTTGTTTTCTGACACCGAACCAGAACAATGCCAAAGCCAATTTCCACGAATCAAAAACAGTGCGACCAGAGGCAAACATTTGGTCGCTTCTGCGTAAACTTTTGTTTCGGACGAGTCCCAATTTTGGCGGGCTCTTCGGCGTGCTCGGTGCGGGGCTGGGCGGGCCGGGCATTCCCTGGCCGCGGCGGGGTATCGCCAGAGCACGTTGGGCTGCCTGCCTCCCGGGCGCTGACCCCCGGGCCCCGGCTGAGCCGTCGCGCGTCGCGCGTCCCCGGCCCGGCGCCCGCCTTGGGCTGCAGGGTGATTCCCCGCCCCTGTCACACTCATGGAGCTCTGTCACTTGATGGGAGAGAGGCGGCCCGACTTAAACACTGGGCGCAATCACAGGGCTACGCCCGCTCTGACCCCGACCAGTCCGCACCACTCTGCCGCTTCGATAAGTC